ACTTCATTATTATACAGGCAGCCGAAAACGAGAAGGCCACAAAATATTATAACTGATGAGGAAATGCCTGAGAGTAAACACTAGGCAGCTGACGGACTACTAGTGGCAGAAACGAGGAAAAATCTGGAGCAGCTGAAGGACGAGAACACATTTTTTGACCCGCTTCTAACACCGCAGCAACCATTTTTGTTGTCTTCAGGTGTGAACCAGCAGTCTGGCATGAAATGTCGGCGCAATGCTCGCCAAGAGACTATGTCATTGCCAAATAGCAGCAGTGTTCTGTCATGGCAGTTTACATAGGGATGTACCACATCGGCGACATCTACTGAGCAGCAGCAGCTCCGCTTATGATCAGAATCAGACTGGCATGATATTTTTGCATTCTATCTAGCAGTCCCTAGTGGAAGGTAACGAAATCTGGTCAAAGAGAGGCTACTCGGGAGAGAGAGTGACTCGAGGGTTAATAGCCAATACGGACGGGGAAACTGTACAGCAGCAAAAAATGAACAATCGTCAAGTTTATGAGCAAATGGGATCAACTCAGCTGCCAAAAATGAATAGCGGAGGAGATCGTCAGTGTAGGTGACCACGGATTGGCCAAGAAATAGCAGTAGTTAATGGGCCAATTATTGCGCAGAAAAGAGCAACTCAGTCGGAGGCGACGTTCTTTAAGAATATAGCTACACAGCAATTTTCAAGGAGTTATAATAATTCCTCCAGTGGGGTTAATTTAACTCCTTACAGTGGAGTTATTTTAACTCCAAAAACGGAGTTTAAAGAACTCTTTTCAGGATTAAAAATGACCCCCGATATTGAGAGTAAAATAACCCCAAAAAAGGAGTTATCCCGTACCTAAAATTTTCTTGCTCCACTTTCAGAGATAAAGTAACTCCAAAAAGAGTAAAAACAACCCATCCAAGGGGTAAAAATAACCCCACATTTGGAATTAAATTAGGACTTAAAGTAACCCCCAAAAAGAAGTTATCCTGTACCTAATATTTTTACTCCATTTTTGGAGTTATAATAACTAAAAATTACTGTGTAGTGTCCCATCGCCAAGTCACTAACTGTCAGTGTCTACTCATTTAGGACAGTATGGTTGCAATGGGAGTTGTCGGTCCAATTTGTCCAGACGAGAGCTCTACCAGGAAATGGAGGCAAGGGATGGGTCATTTAACTCACAGAAACAAAAACCACATCAAAACGAGAGGAGCACCGAGGACAGTTTATTACCACCTGCCCCTAGCTCACCATCAGACTGGCATCGGATATCATTCAGGTAGTCGAAATGAGTTTCGCCATGAAATGGGGAATGAGTCAGTCAGAATTCAGTGAAACACAAACAATCAGCAAGAAATGAGGGAAATATTAAATCGAGAGCATGATGCATGATGTGCTTTGAACTCAAAAACATAAAGCTTTGTCTTCTCATTTCCACCAAGAATCATGCCGAGAACATGATCGGTTTGATCAACGAGAGATTTTTCGAGAAAGAAATGGGCGAAGAAGAAAAGAAGGGGTCTGTGATAACACCGATGATGCTCATGCTAAACGGACACTTGCACATGTCCGGAACAAACGCTTTTAGCACTTTTCTCCAAAAGGGAGGGTGGCCATTACGCTCCAATGCGAGGACTCGAAATTCGCATTTTCGACAAACCATAGCGTCAGTTACTTCGTTCGGTGAATCCGGACTGATTTTGTGATTTCATAATTCTCTAAAACTTCTAACAGTTAGGTATAGAGTAATTTAAAAGCATAAAGGTGGGATTTGGCCACACAAAAGATCGAGGGAACAAAAAAGGGATTTGGCTATCGTTAGTTTAACCCTCCTATTCGACTACAAAGAGCACCGCGATACGTTTAGGGTAACCAAAGAAATATGCTCGTGTTTAGTGAGCATTTAAGAAAAACAATGAGCGACATGACCCAAAAACCTTCCAGGACTGTAAGTAAATCTCGCGAAGAAGGATAGCAAGATAGCCATTTCTCCTAAAAAATGGAAACTGTAAAGACGCGGTGTGCTAGTAGTTAGAGACGCCGGCCGGGGCACCGAAATACCGGATATTTCCAACTACGTCAGAAGTATCTTATTTGATTTTCTTTATGCTTTAGAAGCCTTTATGTTTGTTTTTTTGGGAGCTTCCCTAAAATCTATTTATCCTTTCGGATTTCTTAGGGGAACCTTGGAAAGTTGACTTTTTCGTCTCACTCGAAACCGTTAACTACTCTTATTGGTCCTGACCAGGGGTGTGGGTGGGAGCGCGGAGGTGTTATAAAGTTCGAGGGTATGAAGCAGCCGTATTTTCATCGAAGAGTCTAGGGAACGTATTTTCTTCATACCGACATTTTCGCAAAAAACAATCTAAGTTGTAAGTGAGCTTGGAGAAAACCCGAATATTTTAGACGAATGGAACAGTTATCGAGAAGAAGCAAGAAGAGAAGGAAAAAAATGAGGTACAATGCGGTTGTCAATGGTTCTGCAGCAACGGATTACCAACTAATACAGTTAAATTTTCCACTGAATGTTATTCTTTTTGTCTATTAATCTTTTCATAGTAAAAAGTAGCGCTTTGCACTTCAAATCGTTTACCAAAAGGTATGCGGTAAAATTCCGAAAATAAGCCCCGGGCTTATATTTTTCAAAGGCCCCTTTTGAGAGGTTTATGTACGGAGGGAAATTTGCGTTTAAAAATCGACTGGGCTAGCTTTATTCTTGGAACGAAATTTACCGTTTTTCTTTGTTTTAATTTGCATTTGAGGGAAATTTCCAAGTACAAGCCCCCCGGGGGACTTACATTTTGAGGGGCGATTCAACGGAGAGTTTTTTGCGTTACCAGTTTGGGGGGCTTATACATGGAGGGGCTTATTTTCGGAGTTTTACGGTATTTAGCAATGTTTCCTCATCTTTTTCTTTTAAGATTAAAAGTTTTTTCCACAACGTTAGGTCACAATACCTTGTATTTCTGACCTCTATCTGCAACTAAAATCCGCACACTGGTGCATTCACGAAGCAATCTTTGCCTCCGGACTTTACTCATGTGCAAAGACAATTTCAATGAGTAATTATTTTTTTCCAGTACTTCGCTTGTACAACGGCCATGATAGTTTACTTATGTACTGACTGGCCTCACGTACAGACTAGTATTAACTTAAGTGTTATTGTCAGAAAAAAACCGGGCAATAGCAAAAGATCGAGGTCCGCCGTTTACCTTCATGTGTTCACAGTATGAAAGCTATCTGAAAAGATTAACAACCATGGCATTTGGAGAAGTAGCCGTTCGATTTTCTTCGAGATATCACTATTTCGAGATTTTGGGACCTCCGGCGACCTAAAAAAGCACAAATTTTGGCTAACTTTGGGTGAAGTTAACACATACTTGGCCAAACTCCCAATAGTTCTTATATTTTTTCCATAACACCTATCGCTTCGTTAGTCGACTGGAATATGTTAAACTTCCTTTGCTTAAATACTCTATTTTTTACCTGGTGCTAAAAATCGCTCCCGAATTGTTAATGAGCGTCACCCAAATTTCAGTCATTTTCAGTTGACTGTTTTACCGAGATGCGGCAGTTTATTTCAAAAGTAAAATCATTTCTAGATGGCTTATTGTGCTGTTATCAAAATCCAGTTTGTTTAAAATTGGTATCTAGCAGCAAATTGGAGAAAATGGCATGCAAAAGTACAATAATAAGCGTCGAGTATTAATATTTCCCGCCAAATTTTATAGCGCCACGTTTCGTTTTACTGTGATTGTGGTTCGTAAATGTCTTAAAATAGATTTTTACGACTTCAGAAGAGATAATTGAAAACTTTTATATCCCTAATTACAAGGAAAAACATTATAAATCGCCGTATTGATAATAATCTTTTTCATAAGCAGGCGAAATCGTCAAAAAACGAAGCCCATTTTTCCCGCGAAAGTTTTAATTTATTTGTCACGCAGTACAATAAAGCCGGACTGTATTCTCAGTTCTGAGCTTTTGACGTTGGCCAGAAAACAAACTTAAATCAAATAATACCAACAAAATTCAGAATTATCCTAATTAAATTACTTCATAGAGACACCCTGTTTCCATCGAACGCTAGAGTTGTCACGAATTTAATGATCGGACGTCACGACAGGTTGAAAACAGATCAAAACATGAATTGTTCATTCAAATCGGAGGAATCGCCATGTGGCTTGCGTGGAGTTGGTACGGTTATTCTACCGTTACTTGCCTGCAAAAGAGATATTACCTTTCATCTTCTTAGTCTGAAAATCAGCGTAAAACGTGGTAGAGGAAGCACCGACGTCAGCGAAACAGAGTTAATTTTAAACCGTGCAGGTCTTTTGGGTGCTGTTAGCAATGATGAAATGCAGACCATGACAATCTGTCCCAAGCATAGGCTGGATCTTACGACTAACTGGCCGGGTCGTAAAGTCGAAATATGTTGTTATCCAGACCATGAAGGTACCAATAGAGGAATTAAACTCCCTAGACGTGTAAACGCTGATATGTCAGCGGAAATCTTTGCTTTATTCAATGCCGTGGTTCCTATTGGCTCAGGTTAGTGTAATGCATTCATTTTTACAGATTTTCTTTTTTAGCTTAAAGTAGTTCCCACGATTTGCATCAAAAGGGTGGAACACGAACGCCCGTAAGCAAGTATTTGCGACAGATTGCAGTTTCCCATGACTGATGCTTTACTCAAAAAGGGTGGTTTCATTGTGTCCAAACCGCGTGTACCGAGCGATAAAGACACCTTATTGCCATCAAGCCAATTTGGAAAATCATACTTAAGCCCCGCTAAAATATTTTTCTTACCTTGAACTCTAATTTTACTGACAACATAAACTTTGCGTGCAAAGCTAATTGAAAGTACAAACAAACGTTTCGCCTCTAAGTTGTCGCAACACCTGTTGTAGTAATCTGTGCCAGAAGAGCCTTTTCATGACAACCAAAAAGTAAACTAAATTAGTATTGACAGTTTCTTTTTCTTTTGCAACTGTTTTTGATTAAAATCCGAGGGTTCGTAAAAACGAAAGTGAACGTACGCAAATGGCATACATAATTAGATTACAGTTTCTCCACAGCTGACACTCTTTTTAGTTATTCACAAATGAGGCATAACAGAAAAAAGGATATGAAAAAAAAAATACAGCAAGTTGTTCAACAGGATAAAAAAGTAGTAACCCAGGGTAAATTAGCATTACAGTTTTACAGAAATTAACAAAAGGTTTATTTGTTATATACTGAAATATGGCCTTAGAAATGGTAATAAAATAAATTACCGTGAAGTAAACGCAAAAAAGTTACAACAGAGAAATAGTCTAGTCGGAAGGCAGGGTTCCCATGCACCCCTAGGATATATTTTTCTAACTTACATTTTTGTAATCCTCAAGATGTCTTGAAAAAGAAATTCTATGTTCCCATCGCGAAATATTGTCCCAAGGCCTTTTTTTCGTGCTCTTTGTGGCGGCCATCTTGGCAGCCATCTTGGTTTTCTAATGAAACTTAATTGCGGACAATTAGTTTATCAAAAGAGGCAAATAACTTTTATTTGCGTATACTTTTACTATAACGAATACCTTTAAAGTATATACGTCCTTTTTTTGACAAATTAAATAAATTTGAAGTAAACAGTGAAAACAAATAAAGTATGATTTACGCTCAGAATAAAGAATAAAACTTAACATTATATTCAACTCAGTTTTTTATGATTACCTCTATTAATTTTTCCATTTTAAAAAAGGGCAACCACAGATTAAAAAGAATCTTATAAAGTCCAGAATTGGATCAAAGCGAAAATACTATTAACTAAGTCACCCTATTGCCTTCTTAAATCAGACTATGCTTCTAGTACTACAATCCTAATGTGAAACAGGCCAAGCAGCACATGAACTATTAACTGGGCCACTGTTTAATTTACAACCTCATTTGAAATGGTTATCAAATATGCAGGGCATTTTTACGTATCGCTACTTCTTCTTTTCACTTTAACTTTTATTCTACACGCCTGTATATAAAAACGAAAAAAATATATGTGAAAAATTGGATAGTTTGTACTTAAACTGCGATTTCATTTTGATACTAATTAAAAATGCGTTAAGTCATATTTTCATATTATTTTAAGAAAGATTTGAACTATGTTTTGCACTTTTAAGAGTCTAAATCGTCCAAAAAAAAATCACTGTTAGAATTTTAAGAGATGAAACGCAAAGGTAATAACGCTAACAGACAAGACTTTCTTCACAAGCGGCCCGCTCTTCGCCGTATTTTACATACGTCCAAGAGTTGGAGAAAAATGGCTTTCCTAATCCAGAGTACAGAAGTGAGAATTTGAAAGCACGACTTGACAATCATGAGATTTGTGAGTTGATCACTATCGCAAATGTCAACCGAGGTGACAAAGGTTGTATCACTTATAATCTAGTCTACAGTGCCGCCATGTTCGTTGCTGAAGCAGTAGCCTATGCATACAATTTGGGGTCCAAAGACAAATATGAAGATGTCGCTCTCCTCCTACGCAGCTCGATTAAGCAGGCTTTTAAAGAGTCGAAGCCACTTCCCTGGCCTCCTTCAGCCGACGATCTCGAAGTCAAGTCATCTGAGGAACTACTCCCATCTGACCTTGTAAAATTCCTGAACTGTGTCATCGATGATCCCATTGACATTGACGATCACATGCGTTACTCCCTTAAGCCTGTGCCTCACAGCCTTGGAACACCAGACCGATTTTTCAACAAGACAAACAAGGCTGCTATGCTGCAGTATATGATGGACGATGCTCCTGAAGAAGTTATTTATCCAGCGGAGAGCCTCTACATACAGGATGGGAACGCACTTTTCCGTGCCCTGAAGAACCTACCACCAACCTTTGGTGAGATATGCCTTCAGGTACTAGATGGTGGCTAAGAAGAATTTTGTCTTCTCAAGGATTCTTACCATGCAGACTCCATCAAATCACAAGAACGACTCCGTAGTGGTTTCTCCCAGCGGTATATCCTAGAGGGACCAGCGACCTTGCAAAAGAAAAGAATAAACTACAGCTCTCCAACTAATGCTGTGAGTGTAGGGGAGCAAGACAGCAGCCTCTCAGCTGGAGAAATGTGAAACTGCTCTGATAGTGGTTGATTGTAAGGCGTACCAACTTGGAAAACTTTATGGCGATGTGAGTACATTAAAATAAGAAGGCTGCAAGCTATGATTGGCAGATGCGTATTGCTACAGTACAGGTTTATTTAATTATAATTAAAAATGACGCATTTCAGGTGGCGATACACGAGATTGAAGAGCTTGTATCCAACCAGGAGACAGACACCAGAGTTGTGCTGTACCTCGACTATGCCGCCAGGCGTGGATTCAAATCGGCTCTGGTCAGGACGTCAGACACAGACATCTTTATCCTGCTTCACTATGCGCACTCAATCCCAATTACCATATACCTAGATACTGGATCTCGAAAGCATCGTCAAATTATAAATGTCAGTGAGCTATCAGAATCTAAAGGAGCCGACTACTACACTGCGCTGCTCGGTCTATACTTGTTTACCGGTGAAGATGTTACAAGTGCGTTAAAGGGCAAGGGTAAGGTGGGACCCTTAAAAAAGCTGCAGAACCATCCTAGGTACCATGACGCATTTATGTGATAGTTTTTGCTTTACATGGCAGTAATGAGTTGTAATATTGACACCTGCTAGTAAATTAATAATGTTGCCATCATTTGTTTTGTTCTTGTTTTCGTTTAGAAAACTTGGAGATGAGTGGTCTGTAGATCAAGACGTTACAGATGAACTAGAGGCATTTACGTGTTTGATGTATGACTACACGCGGGAGAAGTCTGTTGATTCCGTACGCAGCAAATGCTTAAGAAGATGGTAGGAGAGAATGAGGAACCTACAATGAGATCAAAAGAAGACCTGTCCCGGCTTCCACCTTGCAAAGACAACTTCATTCCACATGTTTGGGGAGTGAATTACCGCCTTGCCAACTACAAAAGAGCTCAACAGGCGACATTTTGGCGCCCCAATCCCTACGATTCAGGCCAGGGTTGGGAGAAGACCAAGGAAGGTATCCTAGGGACGGTGTGATCATGTGATGCTATACATCCCCCCTCACACGTTGACCTGTTGGAGAAAACAACTGAGGAGAGACGGAAAATGTCGCAGAGGAGGAAGAGTAGCAGGAGATTGACTTTGAGGAGCTTTTAAGTAATGATGAGTAGCCAAGTAAAAGGCCGTTAATCAGTCATTTATGTACTGCTTGGCCTGTTGCACAGTAGGATTGTAGTAATAGTAAAATGTAGCTACGATGTTGCTATTGGCCGTGGCATGGGTAGCTATTGGGTGACTTACTGTTAAATCTTTTTTGCTCTGATTCTTTGTTGAACTTTGTAAGTAAGCGACTAGAGTGAGTAAAATAAACTGAGTTAACTGGAAAAGTTAACAGAGGTAATGATAAAAAACTGAGTCGAGTATAATGATATTTTTTTCTTTATTCCCAGCGTAAATAATACTGTATTTGTTTTCACTGTTTACTTAAAATTTATTTAATTTGTCAAAACCATGACAAATATACTTTAAATGTATTCGTAATAGTAAAAGTATACGTAAATAAAAGTTATTTGCCTCTTTTGATAAACTAATTGTCCGTAATTAAGTTTCGTTAGAAAACCAAGATGGCCGCCACAAAGAGCACGAAAACAAGGCCTTGGGACAACATTTCGCGATGGGAACATAGAATTTCTTTTTCAAGACATCTTAAGGATTGCAAAAATGTTATTTAGAAAAATATATCCTTGGGGTGCATGGGAACCCTAACTTCCGACTCGACTAAAATCGAATTGCTTTTACAAAAGGAAAAATGGCCAAGGGAATGGCGGTTTCATTTATCAGCCTTTTTGCGTAGGAGGGGTGCCGAAAAAAGTCTGGGGGAGTGAGGTTTTGAATTAGTTCAAGAGGCATTTAAGCAAACAAAGTTTAGTCTGGTGACATCCTGATTCTAATCAAATGTGTTTTCAATGTTTTCCATGATATCTATCTGTACAAGTTGCCGGCTCAAACATTATAAAGAGCGCAAGAAAAAAGAGTTTGACAGTGGCGAAGGCGCAGAAGAGGTCAGCGGGATGTTTAAATCATTACTTGGGGTCGCCTATTGTTTAGGCGGGGGATGGGCTGGGCAACTTCTGTGCTTCTGCTGTGAAAAATCGTTGAAAAGTGGGCCATATGGAAATACAAGCTATTGTGTACTATTTAACCACAAGCCCATCCTAAAGTGAAAGAGATATATGCGAAGGCCAAAAGACCGCCGACGAAAATGCTGTAAGGCTACCTGGATCTAAACATGTCACCAAAACTCAAAGCGAGGATAATACTATGTTATGGAAAATTTACTTTGCTAGGTTTTAGGAATTTCTTTTTGCTCAAGAAAATTGCTAGACAGACGAGGAGCAGTCTCTTTTTCTTGCGGGCGACTCGAAAACTGGAATGTGAGTAGGGGATCAAGCAGCGATCGGTGAAGAACTGCAGACTAGAATTTTATTCTGAAAAGCCCCAATTTCTCCATCATTTATCCCCTGGCTTGCATAATTTTAAACTCTTCCCATTGCGCATGAGTGTTCAAGAACAAAGACCGACTGCTCGTAGTCTAGAGATTAAGAGCCAAGCGCAATATGCGTAAGCCCCTGCCCGGGGGGGGGGGTGGCTGCTCCAATATATGGGCAATATAGGCATGTGCCGCAAGTTAGGGTATTTGTGTTTGCCGTGCGCATTAGCCTTGTTTAGATTCCTTGAATGCGGTGCCATTTTCGGGTTTTGGCTTTAAAAAGGTACTAGACGTTCGCGCTAAGGACAAACGTAGCATACGTCCATATTGGATTGGGTGGTCTTTAGTACATCTTATTTGGTCACCCCAATTGTTTAAAATTTCTGACATAAGCAACCTACAATCTCAAACTGGTGAAAGTTTAAGGAAAAATCAATGTTAGAAGATTTTGAGCGAACGTCCTTAAATAGCG